AAGTAAAGTAAAAATATCAGAAAAATCTACTTGAGTACAGTAATGAAGTATTTGTACTTTGTTACTTCCCATCTCTGAACACAACTGATGCTCAAATGTCTGATTGACCTTAAATGTGTCTCCAGCCTCTGATGTAACCCTCTTTGCTGAAATGTTTGTCTCCTGCTTATATTTTCTTCTGCTGATGTTTTTTTGATATCTCAAACTGTATCCTTTCAAGGATAAAGTGTGAAATATGCTCCCCAACAACCCCCCTCCCTCCCCAACGTGGCTCATATTTTTCCTCGTAGATAAAGGCAGCACTACAGAGAACCGCCTCACAGTGGCGCCCATAAAAACACACCGACGGCAGCGTTCTGCGGCACACATGGCCTCAGTAAAACGCTAAAACGCTGTTTCCACGTTACCTGGTTCTTCTTGATGAGCAGCTGCACCGTCTGCAGGTTGTGTCCGTGGTCAGTAGATGTGGCCAGAGGCATCCTCTCCTCCACCCAGAGCTGGAGACACACAGACACATCGTCATCGGAAACTGGACTCAGGCACCAGGTTCTACAGCAGCATTAATGGCTCTGGTGCTGCAGGACGTCCACATTGATGGGAGGAATTTCCTCCCATCTGTTGTTCAGATGGGAGGAAATAATATTAGTTCAATTACAGCTGGACCACAGGCCGCCGTCACACCTTGCCAGTTTATCCAGCATATGCCTGACGTCCCAGCTTCTCCTAAAACGCTGCCATGCGCTGAACTTTCTATGTATTTTTTCAATTCTGGGCATATAGAGCAGTGTTTTTCAATCCTGGTCCTGAAGGCGTTCTGCTCTGCATGTTTTGGATGTTTCTGAGGTTCAGCACACCTGATTCGGATGATTGCAGTTCAGCAAAGCCTGATAATCTGCTATCAATTGATAACAGGTGTGTGAAAGCTGGGAAACATCTAAAACATGCAGGGCAGGGTGCCTTGATGACCAGGATTGAAAAACACTGGTATAGAGTATTCATAATGAGTCCAGAACTTATTTCCAACAACAGCTTAACTTATGCATAACGCATGGCAGCGTAACGCCCATGAAATGATGCACAAGCAACATTTCAGGGATGCTGAAGGCAGAGACGGAGCAGATAGAGCGAAACTTCAGCATAAAGAAGGTTTACAGTAAAGCCGGCTCTTCTCTAAAAGCAGAAGCAGCATAAAGTTCAGCTCCTGGTTCCTTTCCTGCACCGTCCTCCCACATCAGAAAGAGCCGAGCGGTGAAACCCCCCACTTACGATCTCATCCTCCACGTCTCGGTTGAACTGGTGGATCTCGCGGGACGCCATCAGGTTGTCGCGTCTCATCTTCAGAGGCGCCAGCAGCGCCTGGAACTTCTTCTCCACGGTGATCCTCCTCCCTTCCACCTCGTCGGAGCCTTTCCCCTCCTGGCTGAGGGCCTGAGACTGTCTCTGCAGCTCCTCCACCTCCTTCTGACGCACCTCCACCTGGCTCTCCAGCATCTGCAGGAGGAACATTTTAGTTTCTAATCATCATGAGGCAGCATGAATGAAACACCTACGGGTGGGGATGGGGGGGTTAAAATGTTCTCAGATTAAAGGAAATAAAGAAGCAGATATTCTATAAACAAAAGTCCTCGTCTGCAGCCAATAAAATGTGTTTACCTCCGACTCAGAGGAGGAAAAGCAATAAAGTCAGGTCCGTCTGCAGGAGGCAGAGTGATAACGTGAGGAAGCATCACATGGAGGGAAATAATCAGCAGGAGTCTGGACTGGAGTCAGAACCAGATCACCGCTCCGCCTGCACGGCTCAGACGGGACAAACGGAGGAAACAGCTTCTGAAGCTGCAGCGTCGTACATCAGCGGGGCTCCCACTCAGTCTGCAGCATCACTGGACTGGGAACCAGTCCCCTAAACGTCCAACCTGCAGCTATCAGAGCCCCCCCACCAACAGCAGGACCGTTTAACGTCAGAGATCCATCCTCAGTGAGAGGAGCCCCAAAACACGACCGGATTACATAACGAGCATCGGCGGAGCGGAGTGGGAATTACATAACGACGGGTTCCACTTCCACTCACATGACTAAAGTAACGGCAGCTTCAGCTTCCAGGAATTTCAAGGGAAAACGACCAGAGATGGTGTTCAGAAGAAACCAGGAACCATCATCAGACATTTAACTCTACTGGGAAAAACACAAACCGTCCTGAAAGTCACACCAACGGATTAAGATCAGAGGGAAGAAAGGAAATAAACCTAAATCCAACCTAAGCAGAATGACGCTTCCTCAGGTGTTCATTAAAACATCGACCAATCACAGCGCAGACGGTGCATTTAAACTGAAACTAAAACCCAACAGTGTCAGTCTATAGACACCCTATTATACCACATTAACCAGTCAGACTGGCAGGAAACATCTTTACCTGCTAATGTGAACTTCATGCTAAATGCTTTTCATGTTTAAATTGAGATTTATATTTTTAGCAGCGATGGATTTAATGAGTCATCAGGCTGAATACTGAAGGATTAAAGGGGATTATGCATCTAATTTAGAAAGAAGGCTTTGAAAACCAAAAGATGAGGAACTCAGTTTGAGTCACATCTACAAGCAGCTGGATGTGTCACTAAACTGCAAAAACGATCTAAAAATAAGTCAACATATCTTAAATTAAGTGTATTTACCATTAATTTGAGTTGGTAAACGAGATAGTTTGTCAATGGAATGAGTATTTTTATTCTTAAAATAAGATAATTAGATAATATGCACTTAAAATAAGACAATGCAATTGTGTTTTCTTATTTTAAATGTAAATCTTCTTGTTCCGTTGGCAAAGTGTCTCTTTTACCTCCTCAATCCAAGAACAAATGCACTTATTTTAAGAAAAAATGACTTATCTAGATTTCGATTTTTTCCAGTGTGAAATTAAACTGAAAAATAAGTATTGAAAATGTTATCACTTTGAAATAATAATGTGAATTTTTAGCTTGAAGACAAAATAACAGATGAAATTTCAACTGTGTAGAAATAATGACAATGAATTTTTTTTAGGTGAAAAATGTGTTCTGAATATATTTTAACACTGAAACAGTTAAAACAAACATACAACATTTAAATTTCAGGGGCATTTTTAATTCAAATCCCAGCGACACAGATTTACTTCCATAGATGTGTCACTAAACTGCAAAGACGATCTAAAAATAAGTCAACATATCTTAAATTAAGTGTATTTACCATTAATTTGAGCAGATAAATAAGATGATTTTACAATGGAATGAATATTTCTTCTCTTAAAATAAGATTATTAGATAAAATGAACTTGAAATAAGACAATGCAATTGATTTTTCTTTGAAATGTAAATTGTTCTTGTTCCATTTGCAAAGTGTCTCACTTAACTCCTAAATTCAACGACAAATTACTTATTTTTACAAGAACATAACTTATTTAGACTTGAATTTCTTTGCTTGTCTGCAATAAACCCTTCATATATCTAATCCAAACAAGACAAAGTTATCTCCCTTAAAAAACAGACTTAAATGCAAAATACACTTCAAATAAGCATATTTGCTCTTAGTTTAAACAGCTAAGATGATCTGCCAATGAAATTTGTTTTTTTACCCTGGAAATCAGATAATCAGAATTATGCACTTAAAGGTAAATCATCTTATTCCATTGGCATATTGTCTTACATACTTGCTATAAATAAGGCAAATAACACGTATTTTAATAAAAAATAAAAATATGGAGCAGTCAGACTACTCCTAGACTGCAAAAAATGTAAATCTCAATAAGTCATTTTTTCTTAAATTAAGGAGTTAAGTGAGACACTTTGCCAGTAGAACAAGACAATTTACATTTAAAATAAGAAAAATCTATTGCAGTGTCTTATTTCAAGTGTATAATATCTAATTATCTTATTTTAAGAGTAAAAATACTCATTCCACTGGCAAATCATCTTATTTACCTGCTCAAATTAAGGGTAAATACACTTAATTTTAGACTTTTTTTTACTCATTTTTAGATCATTTTTGCAGTGTAAGAAATTGCACTAAAATAAGTCATTTTTTCTTAAAATAAATGCATTTTTTTCTTTTCTTGAATTGAGTACACTGGAAAAACGATCTAGATATAAGTCCATTTACCCTCAATTTAAGTAGGTAAATGAGATGATTTGCCAATTAAATTAGTATTTTTACTCTTAAAAAATAAGATATTTAGATAAAATGCACTTGAAATAAGACATGGCAACTGTTTTTTCTTGTTTTAAATGTAAAATGTCTTATTCCATTGGCTAAATGTCTCTTTTAGCTCCTCAATGAAAAAACAAATGCACTTATTTCAAGAAAATAATGACTTATCTAGATTTAGATTTTTTCCAGTGTAGGCAAATGAGACACTTTTCAAATAAAATGAGAAAAGAACTATTAGATTGTCTTATTTCAAGTGCATATTATCTAATTATCATATTTTAAGAGTAAAAATACTAATTCCATTGGCAAACTATCTTATCTACCTACTTAAATTAAGGGTTGATAAGGGTAAATTGAAGAAATGTTTACTTATTTCAGGATAATTTTTGCAGTGTGGAAAGGTCTTTGCCTCCACCACAAAAAATTGCCAAACGCTTAAAATAATTCATCTAGCAGCTGAATCAGGAAAAAAAATAATAATTTCTGTGTGTTTCCCTTTTTCCACGGTGTCATAAACTCACCTGCTGCTTCTTCAGCATGATGTTAACGGAGGTGAGGTCTTTGCCAAAGTCGTCGGACTGGAGCTGGCCGTCCAGGCCGGTCAGCCACTTGTCGAGGTCGGCGCAGCTCTGCGTGAACAGCTCGGCCTTGTTGGCGTCAAACAGACACTTGGCCTTGGTCTGGGTGGTGGACTCCAGGACCTCCCACATGGTCTTCAGGGACGCCAGCTTCTCCTTCACCATGGCCTCCGTCTCCGGCTTCTCTGCTGCCAGCGCCTGGCCGTCCTGCAGCAGAACGTTCACAGAAACATTCAGCAAATGTTTGGTTCTTAAAGCATGACATAAAAAAAGAACTAAAGTTTAGGTAAACTTTAATCTGATTCGAACAGAAAATGTCTCCTGGGCAACATTAAGACAAAGTTCATCAAAGTGGAATAAAAGAACCTGAAGTCAGTTAAGATTAAAGGTAAGTTTTTTCTTTAAAGAAATAAGATATCCAAGGTAATATAAACTATCCAGAATAACTTAGTTAGCTCAGGCTAGTTTTAGATGCATAAAAGAAGATATAAAAGTTAAAAATCAATCCACTGGACTTTGTTTCCCAGTTTGAAGACGTTTCTCTTCCATCCAGGAAGATTTTTCAATCCAAAATGTCAGAAATAGCGTTTAGTTCCAGGTTTTATCCAGCAGCCCAACAAAGCCTGGTTTTAGTTTAGAAAACATGCAAATAGAAACGGATGAACGGGTCCCCCCCTTTGGAATGGGGGTCGTTTGGCTTCTTTGTTAGCCTGCAATGCCCCATACCTGTCTATGTCTCTGAAAGGGGGGTCGTTAGAGGGAATAGTTGGCCTGGCTGAAACAGGCGAGGTGTTTTGGTCCCCTCTATGGGATTATCATCGCAACCCCCACCCCCATAGAGGGGACCAAAACGCTATTTCTGACATTTTGAATTGAAAAATCTTCCTGAATGGGAAGCGAAACATCTTCAAACTTGCAAACAAAGTCCAGTGGATTGTTTTTTAAAAACGTTTTTTTTTTAAATTCTGTAAAAATTTTTACGGAATGACTATGACCTGGATGACTGAGAATCTTCACCAGCAAAAGAAGATATAGTTTAAACATAAGGTCAAATATACCAAGGATACAAAGTTAAAGCAAACTCACAGCAAAGCTAAATTAAACAAAGGTTTGCCAAAAACAGATAAATTAGGAAAATATAAATAAATCCTGAATAAACAAGGCTAACTTAGCATAACAGCCATTAACACAGGCTAAGCTACAAAGGAACAAATTAGCTTTGAATATAACAAATACCACGCTGAATTACCTTTACCCAAAACAAGGTTATAACAGAGAAATGTCAACAAAGTTAAATCAAATTATTAGCAGCTAAGTTTGCCCAATTAAGAAAGGATGGATAAAACAAACAAGATCATTTAGGGTCCTCCCTATGCTATATCTACATGTTCTCCTCACTCAGACGATCATTACTATGCAGATGACATGCAGCTTTATATTACAATCAATAAATCACAAGGGACTATGGAGCAACGGAAGTCCTGGATGTATAAAACTAGGTACATTTGCTTTGAACAAAAAGGAAGAGTGTTTCAAAGTTAACATCTAGATGTTGGAGCTTGGCCTGTTTTCCAGTGTAGTCCTGTTTCTCTGACTGTGACTAACTGGATGTGCTCTCTTCATCCTCTGACAT